TTTCATTCAAAGCAAGGGCTCTTGAGTTTCAACATCCCAACTGGGATTTTTTTTCCACCTCAGCCTGCATGGACAAACCAATGCTTTGGTATAAGATGAAGAGGAGCACCAGCTCTTCCTCTCCCTCTCGTCTTGCCTGTGTTTCACTGCTTTTGTATTCTACCATCACCTTTACTCAACACCGTTTTCTATCCTCCTCATATTTCCATCTTTCAATCCTACCATCTATTATAATGGGTACTTCTCCTGCCTCAGCAAACAATTCAAGCCTTGCTCCCCCCAACTCCACTTGTTGTTCTATGCGCTTCAGTCCTTGTTGTCAAGATCCAAGCTTAATATCTACTCCTAGTGACTCACAAGCCGCTTTGAGTCAACCAGCAAGACCTGTAATCATTGGTATTGGCGGCTCATCCAAAGACGAAGAAGGCAATGATCCACCGTATGATCCCGAGCAGAATGGCAAGAACGATGCAACAGAAAGTCCAACACCCACACCAACCAATCAACCCCCAAAAAAAGATACTTTGAAGAAGCACAAGAAAGTTGACAAACCTCAGCAAGGGAACAAGAGCAAGAAAAGCCATCCCGCTATCCAGGTAAGTTCAAGTGTTTTAATTTGTCTGAAAGCTAGGTGTCTGATCAATTCCAAATGCTACTACTTCAATTTAGGACTTCAAGGCTCCTGACGATGTCAACACTGACCAAGCAACGGACAACAAAGGGCCAAAGACCCAGTTTCAAAAAACAAAAACTAACAAAGTCAAGCTTTTATTATCATATTACAAGGATGAACCAGTATATGTTAAAGGCAAGGAGGTATGTTGACTACATTGATTCAATTATATCTAATATTGACATATATTTTTCATATGATTTCTTAGAGTATGGGTGTCAAAAGGGGCTATGTGTGTAGATGGTGTAACAAAAGCTCTGTATAAGCCTTGTTGGGTTATAAGTTCTACAACGGACATTGAGATGGCTAGAAGAAGCAAAAACCATGCAAACAACGTCACAAGGCAATTAAAGCCGGATTCAAACTGCCACCTACTTGGAAAGAGCTCAACCAACCAATCAAAGTTGTCAATCCAGTAAACAATATGAAGAATTTCCTATCTCAGTCAACTTTCAGTGTTGAATTGCTGAATGTTGTGCTGGTCGTTTGGATTCTTTGACACACCATGCTGTGGCTTTGCTTTCAGGACCAAACATTAAGAGCAGCTTTCAAGCTATGCAGCCAAACAGCACAGCTGCAATCCCCCAAGTGGGCAGCAACTACTGCCAAAGAATTATTCTACTCGTTGTATGATGTTGTCATTGCCCGTATCAAAGTAAATTCTTTTTACATTTTGTTATTACATTTTGTTAATGTTTTACGTTTTGTCTTACATTAATTTCTCACTTCATTACATCACTTTGTTACAGAACAATTTGAGTATGTTCTTGTTGGCTCATGACGGTTGGACTACTAAAGGGAATTGGATGGCTTTTATTGGGGTCATGGTCAACTACATCAACGACAATTGGCACTATCAGACAGTTCATTTGACCTTGAAGTTGGTCACCTGGCATCACTGTGGTGACCTTCTAGCGCGACCCATTGCTCAAAACCTTATCCGCCATGGTTTGCATAAGAAGGTCAGTCCTTTAATTTTGATCTTGTTTTGATACTGTAGAAACTGAACATTGATTTCTTCAGATGATCAGCCAGACAACTGATTCTGGGTCATCCAATAGACCCATGGCTTGCGAAATGGCACGGCTATTCCAAGAAAGGGAGTCACCTGTCCACTGGTCACCCAAACAGAACCACGTAAAGTGCTTCTGTCATAAGTTAGCATTAATGGTAAGCCACGGCCTGAAAACCCTGGATATCAGTGCGGGTCATACCAAACCTACAACATCGCCTGGACTAGCGGTTCCAATCGCTATGATTCGGCTTAACAATGAAGAGTTTGAGGCTGATGATTCCAAAGACTCAGACGAGGAGCAAGGCAATCTAGTACCCAATCTCCTGGATGAATCAGAAGTGTCTGAAGACCCTTCAGACGTTGATATTCAATCTCAAACAGCTGAAATTGTTGCTCGTAGTGTTCATAAGGTAAGTAGATTCTGAATTCAACTGTCAAACAAATTAATTTTTACTAATTACCAGTCTGGTATTTGATTCCAGGTTGACAAGCTCATTCAAACGACTTGTTCAAGCTCGTCAAGACAAAATTATTTTGCTTCTAAAGCAAAAGCTCAAGGTTTAAAGGTTCTCACTGTTGGTTACGGCGTGAGGTGGAATGTCAAAGCGGACAGTTGGCGCAGGGCTTGTGAAGGAAAAGACGTACGTATCTCAGCATAAAACCGTTTCAAAATTTAATATTACTGATGTGACATTCTTGCTTTTGGATAGATACTCAATGCTATGACCTCGCAAGATCAAAAAACAAACAAGTATTACCGAGGTCTATCTTTATGTGACAAAGAGTGGGAGGCGGTGGAGGCTTTGAATCCGGTGCTAGAGGTGAGTTTGAACGTTATATCTACAATATGACAAGCATCTTTGTTTTGACAAATAACTTGCAGGTATTTGAAGATGCCACTTTTCACATGCAGGGCGACTTTTCCTCAGGATGCGGGGTACTTGCCAAGTACCTACCAATCAAGAAGAATCTCGAAAGTCTGAATGAGCTTACCATCTATCTCAGTATCATTGGTGCTATTGATACTATTTTATCGTGGTTGAAGAAATACCAGGATGAGGCTTTGGGTACCTCTATCATAGTCATTGCTACTGTTCTCAATCCTTGACAAAGATTTTTTTTTTCAAGACTTCTATCCGCATGCAAGTAATCAAGCCAACGATTCTATCAATGAAGTCTTTGAGGTAAGATTGTTAGAAAGGCAAATGAACAAACCCGATCCACCTGCACCTCAACCATCAAATGCATGTACTGCAACAGACAAGTTTGACATGTTTGCCGCTGCATCCAATAACATTCAACCTTCATCCAATAATGAACTTACTGACTACATAGCTGGAAAGTTTGGCATATTGCCCAATGAGAAACCTTTGGACTGGTGGAGGGTAACTCTCATCCTTTACCACATCATTTTATCATTGGTTTCAATACTAATATGGGATTTGGACACTCTTCAGAAGCACCAAGCGTCCTTCCCGGTACTGGCATCAATTGCAAGGGACTACCTTTCCATATCCGCAACCACTTGCTGCGTGGAGCGGTCATTCTCTTCAGCTGCAGACATTGCTGCACCTGGGCAAGGATTGATTTTACCCAATACAATTACTCGTAAGGTGGAATGCCAAGAATGGATTAAGTCTGGAATAGTCCCTAAAGATAAATTTGAGGACGCGGTGAAGTATCTCAAAGAATATGAGGAACAAGAGAACAAGAAGAATAATAATAATAATAAGTGCTGATTCCTCTTCTTCTACTTACCTCCATTCTTTTCCTCTCTTGTTGGCTTTTTTTGTTTACTATTGATATGTTTTGTTTCAATTTTATTGTTTCTTTTTTTGTTTTACCTTCCTCATGAATGGTTCAATCCATATTGATATGAATTTACAAGTTTACAAATTTTATCATCATTCTACCACAATGAGCCAAAATCTGTCCCTCAAATTTTCATTGCGGTGTGGTACAGTACGGTTTCATCGTACCATAGTGAGAAGTTCACTATGGTGACGGCCTCATAATGGCGCGTTGTGGTAGTCATTGATTACGGTCTACCGCAGTGTACTTACAAATACACCGTGTCCCAGCGTGTTACGGTGAGATCCGAGCGTTGCGTCCAGATATGAATTTGAATACACCATACTGGAAATATATGGGGGTTCCCCTGTCTTCCTTGGTATGGTAAATGATCAGTTGATTTAAGTGTAGTTATGGAAGGTGGGCCAACTAATAACAAAAGGCGTAACACCCAATACTTTGGGGCAAAAAAAGTAGTAGTAGGCATAGGGGCCGGGGAGCGCCGGCCCCGGATAATTAAGCGGCAACGCTCCGCGCTGCGCCACACAGCGCTTCCCACTACTGTTGGCGCTGTGAGCCAGAGTTGGCGGATGGAGCGGTCTAGGTCATGCACCAATCTAGTCAGATCTTTCAGCAATGTGAGTCAAATGTGGTCAAAGATGCCTAAGAGGGTGTGGCTAACTTCACAATCAGTGTCCAAATTTTTGACGTTCACATTGCGGAACCAGTGTTGTGTTATAACGCAGAGAGTCACTTTGATTAAATGAAGCCAAAAACAACGGTGATAATCGTGTAGTTGTGTGGGTAGTTATGCACAGTGAAAGAGCATCTTTCAAAGGTCATTTATGATGAAGTGGAGTGTATTTGTATAGCAGTTGTGCTCTGACCAAGGTAGGAGCATACTGATTGCTTCAGCAATGTAGTATGGAAGGAGCGGTCAGTGTTTAATTTTTTTTTTCAAATTTGTAAGAGGGTAATGTGACAAATGAAATAGGATCACTTGTGATATCCAGATCATGAAAGTAGTTTGGTAACACCTCTTGCGCTGTACAGCGGCAGGCGGGAGAGAGGCAATCATTACAAATGTGTGAGTGGATGTGGCATGGATAGTGAAAAGGGGGTGGCCAAGGAAGCAATGAGAGCATTGGGAATCGGCCGTATTGGCAGTGGAGTATGGCAAGAGTGGATAGGTCCAAGGAACACATCAAAAGAATGGCAATGGGGTTGCGGCAGCGATGTCAATGAGTGTGCGACGTGGAAGTCACAACACCGTGATTTAGGAGGGGGCCTTTCTAGATGAACATATTGTTGCTATGGCCCCAATCCAAAAAGTGACGGTGTATCGTGGCAAGTTCCACATGACCCTGACTTGGAGGCGGAGAAATGAAATGCGGGTTCTGTTTCCATGAATGATTCCCCAGGCAGTGTCTTTTTTTCATTTCGTGCACATTTTCTTTTATTTGTTTGATTATAACCCAATCACTATCTTGACTACATGTGTTATCTTGGTTATCTTTGTTGGCTCAATCATAAATATGGAGTTTGATGCTGTCCAATCTGTATCATGTTTGGTGAAACAAAAGTTGTTTCCAAATTCATGATCCTTACAATTCATTACCCACAATTGTGAAAACAAATGGAGTGAGTAGCTTCTGAAACTTCTTTCAAGGGAATTCATGATGTGTGATTAGATTAGATGATTGAAGAGGATAAAATCCTATAACATCATGTTTACAAATATGTGTATGTTGATGACCCACAAGTTATTGATCTGGAAATATGTATTGTTGTTGTAAACTTCAGAGAACTCATCTTGAGATTCAAGAATGAGCAAGTGGAATGAATTGTCCATTGTCTGTATTGTACGTGGGTAAGGTGCTTAAGGTGACCTACACGGACCTAGGGTTCAGGGGGGGTCTGAATAGTAAACAGGGGGGTCGGGATAGAGTGATCCTTAAAAGATTGTTTCCATTGCAAAAATTATCTTTACTCTCTAAGTAGGTTATGTCACTCAAAAAAGTGTTTCTGTGATGTGGATTTGAAATAGAAGTCTGCTATTATCCCCACTCCACCTCTCCTTGGTGCCTAAAATTGAGACAAAAGTTTGAATTTATCCCCTCCTTGACATTTAAAATTGAGTGTAGCTCTGCCTGGCCCTGAAGCATAAAATGCAGGGTGTGCCCTGGTTGACCTGAGTCAACTTACCAAGGACATTGGGTCTATCCCAGGTGTGGCCCGGCCGCGGGTCCGGCCGCAAGCTCTCAGAGCCAGGTCACAGCCTCAGCATAACCTTTCTACAGCCCTTTGCATGATTGATGACTTTGGAGAAAAAAATACCTTGAGTTTTCAACAAAAAAAACCTTGAGTTTTTTCAAAAAGTGACCGAGTTTTTTTGAAAACCTACTGAGTTTTTCAAAAACTCATTGACATTTGAAAATTTCAAGAAAAACTCATTGACTTTTTCAAAAACTCAGTAGTTTTTTGAAAGAACTCAGTCACTTTTTAAAAAAACTCAAGGTTTTTTTTGTTGAAAACTCAAGTTTACTTCTTCTTCAAAGTCATCAATCATGCAAAGGGCGGTACATCATTTGAATTTGGACGGAGCATGTAGTTTTACAATGTGCTTTGAATCTTAATGCAAGAACAACAAAATAAGAAATATGATGATTTCAAGTGTTCATCTTTAGTTTGAAGTTAAGAAGTTTGACACTGGATTCATTCCAATTTGTGGTCTGGCAGAACAAACTGATTGCCATGCTGATGGGTATAGCTGATTTTGATCAACAAACCATAGGAGTCTTGGTCTAACTTTCATATATTCATTTGAAAGTGTAGGAGCAAGAAAGAGGTAGGACTAACATGAATAATCACATAAAGAGACCTCACAACCAGGGCTACAACAGATTTCACACACAAAAGAAAAGCACTTTTGCTACCATTGTTTGTAGTTCTTGAATTGAACACTATCCTTCACGGTGATATTGGTCAAAGATCCTATCATACAAGATTCCATTCGTATTCAGATGATCGGACAGATTATAAGTTTGACTTGTTCATTTAGTCTTTTGGGCTATCTTGTTGGGTACTTTGTATCTTGGGAGGAAGATCAATTACATCCATTGATCAAGGAAACCCAAACGGGATATGGTGAAAAATCCATTGATAGAACACACTGGTGGTCTTGTTAGCAAGGCAGTGAGTAAGATCTTTTCGTGCCTTGAGTTCGTCAAAGACTTCAATGTCAAGGGTGACGGTCTAGGTAGGATTCAACCTTTTCAGGTGCATATCTCCTCAGATGAGATTCAGGACCAGGTTCCTCCACTATCCGGCCGACTGAGCGAGTTGTTATGCTGTTGTTTGTCGCGTTCAGGTCGGATTGATGGATTTGAGTCAGTTGAATCAAACCAAACAGTCCAGTACTCACCATTTATTATCAACAACTTTTCAAAAAAGCTGAGCAAACGAAACTCTGTTCAATTTACATACATATCCTTAAACGTTAATTCAATCAATTCAATACAAAAACCCTATAAACTCCCTCCGAACTTTCTAAATCAAGACTTTCTATCAAACCTGCACTTCTGATCTCGTACTTTAGTCTTTCAATCGATCTCTTCGTAGTCTTCAATCGTAAGACGGAAGGGCATCTGATCCCTTTCCGTCCCGCTGGGAACCGGATGACTTCTCACGACGACGAACTGTCTAGGAATATGGACAGGATCACTCAACTTCAAGATGGTATTGATAACGTATGATCTTATCGACCTAAACTTATGACTTGAATCTGTTACTCATCTTTTGGTTTGTTTTTGATCCTAGCTCGTCACAATCATGTATAGCACTGTTAGTTACCTTTCTCGTAAGGCCGACTTTGAACAAGTGAACCCGGATATCCCAATCACTCAATCTATTTCAGATCCAACTAAAATCGATCAAGCAAAAGAAACGTTCAATCGTTAGTGATCACCTGTCAATTTAGATTCTGTACCACCTTTTGAGTTCTGATACAATTATGTTTTGTTCTTTTCTAGAAAATTGTCAAGAGTTAGTCGAGGATTTTATCAGAAAAGCAAAACAACTTGAATATTTAATTTCAATTTTACCACCACACGACGATTCATCAACAATTCCACTACCCAACACCACCGATCCACCACAAGCCACAAGCTCTTCACTCTCATCTAGTCCAACTAATCACAATCGAGTTTATACCATCTCATCTTCAACGTGTACTGAACCAGATGGTACCAAAGTATCAAGTCCGATCACCAAACCAACAAATGGCGAAATTTCTTCTGATCAGAATCATTCAGTTGATGAGGATGATGAACTTGGTACTGATAAAGATGAATTCAATCGACTACAACGTGATATAGAAGATGCTCAGGCAGAGTATGAACATGCGCTTTCTATTGCTGGTAATGTCTTCTCTCTTCACATCTATATAGATTGATCTTGTTTACTGAAATCTTGAATTTTGTGTTTGAATCAAACTAGAATCATTACATTCTGAGATCAAGTCTATCTTGAAACTCGTACTTGAGAAACGTAGTCAATCAGGTGCAATGTCTCCTTGAATACCTTTTATATCGTTGAAAACTTGGACTTGATCTTTTTGACTTTTGGATCTAATGTAATTTGAAGTGGAAACAAGTTGAATTCCCTTTTTGTGATATTTGTATTTCTCTAAACATTGTTGATTGGGCTGTTACTCATGTAAAGAGATGATTACCTCAGTACATATATAGATGGGTTGTTTTCTATATACAGTCGCCACCTATAAGCATAGTTATCATTGAAAAATAAGCCACCCTTATATGGCGTGATGCATCAGTTCAAAATAAGCGTAAAGGCATATCTTCCGGTAAAACCAAGCATAATGCTTAGGGCCTTTTTGGCAAACTTTTGCAAAACTCTATAGTGTGTTATAGACCACAAAATCCATAAACTCATTAGGGGGTTTCAAGTTTGGTGATTTTTTATGTATTTTTTGAAAGTTTGAACAAGTTGCCCAAAAGGTTTACACATTTTTTACCACAACCAGTAAGTTGTTGTAGCGTATAATGACATAAAATTGTCATAATCTTTGTCTGCAATCTCTGCTGCTTTATACCAGATTTGTTTATTTTATCAGCTCTTTGAAGCTTGTGATTGGCTTGTTTTGTTTGCTCATGTCTCACCAGATTACCCGAGGTACAACTAGTTTTATAAATAATGATGGGAAAGAAAGTGCTATTTTATTACTCTCAACCAATTGTTCTCATCTTTGCCTGTGATCCCTGATGCTCTATGCACATGTTTGTTTCATTTCTCAGCTCTTCAAAGCTTTTGATTGGCTTGTGCCATTTGTGCATGTCTCACTGCTTACCCCAGGTCCTCATGCGCCAATGGCAAAGTCACTGAGCTTTTTTTAGCCACTTATGGAATACAAAGCTAAATCTGGGAGTTTTTTCCCTGTTTCCCTGTTTTTGTTTTTGGCTGTGTTTGGAAGGTTTCCATGTTCTCCCAGTTTCCCAGTTTCCAAAAACACAGCCAAAAACAAAAACTGGGAAACTGGGAAAAACTCCCAGATTTAACTTTGTATCCCATGACTGATGTAATCTTCTCATCATTCAATTCCACTTTGAAATCATAAATGTTCCTACTACAATTTCTGCTAGCTATCAGCACATCAAGTATGCATATCTCATTATAGGCACAGTTTTTCGACAAATCAGAGCTGAACAGGGCCTAAGCCGTGTCCCTAAGTGTGTGAGCCAAAAGTCTCAACACAAGCAAAAATATGTCTACAATTCACAAAAAGTGTAGATCTTGCCATATGTATGGTTGGTGACAGCAAGAATCACTGAATTGGGAAAAATTGTTCCACAAGTTGCAAAAATCATTTACAAAGCAAATCAAGAGAATTTTGATCAAGGTTGTCTAGTTGATGGCTATCCAAAATTATGGTCAGTTGAACACATCTCATGAGGCTTGTTTTTTGCAACTTTTATAAGAATGATGAATTTGGGTTTTCTTGTTGTTGTAATTACAAAATACCCAGTACAATTTGGTTTGCTGTGGTGCACATGTTTTTTGAAAAAAGTGCAATTATTTTCAAATTGGCTGCATCATTCTTAACAAAATGTAGCCCCCCTTACCTTTGCTTATTATTATTGAATACTACTTCGTTGTTTTACCTTTTGTTTTTGTGTGAAAAAATTGTTGTTGTCAGGTTCTTATTTCATTACTCTTTGTATAATTGACAAGCATTTGTACAAGCAAGTTCTTCATGGGAAACAAAGAGACAATTCTGGTGAGCCTATGCACCTGCCATTGATGATGTAAAATCATGTTATTTAACTCACACTTTGAACTCTAATCATGACAACATCACACAGATCAGGATGGGTAAATTTGGTAGAAGAAATTGTTGCCAAGATGCAGGATCAACATAATGCAATGCAAATAAATTTTGAGCCCCATTGCAATAGGTTTCTGGTATTTGTAATAATTTATGTGTGGACAAATTGCCCACAGCAAAAGAGTCAGGTATTTTATAGGCAGAGGATGGATCAGATGAACCAACCTCTCTGGTGCTGATCTATTGAAGAATTTGATACAACAATTGGCAATGATACCAATGTAGGTCAATACATTATTGTATCCTGATTTTCCAATGCTACACTCTTCAGTGGTTTATTGTAACAGTCAGTGGGGATTTCCTGTCAAGTAAAGGCTCTATTGGAGGGTGTCTTATTATAGATGTCTGTTCCGGGGTGATACAGAAACTATCATCATGAGCCACCTGTCTGAGGGGGGAAAATTGAATCAAAGAACTCAAGCCATAGGTATTAGCAAAATATTAAGAATTTGAGTTAGAATAAAATAGATATCAGTCTTTTGGTGCGGTGCCTATGCTGTTTGCTTAAGTATCTGTTTGAGCTATGGTCTTAATGACCAAGTAAGATATGCAGATGTTAGATCTTTGAAGAGGTTTTGCAACCTGAAGGAATGGTGCCATGCCGCAAAACAAATGTAAGCGGTGAAAACTTCAGTTTGGAGATAAATCACAGACTTGGGAGATATGTAATTCAATTTCAAGTAAAGAAAATCTCATTCAAATAATACACTATCAACTCAATGTCACTGATAAAGGACATACATTTGATCCTTCTTCATCTTCCTTCCACTGATCTTTGGCTTGCTTCTCACAAGTTTTTTGTCTGAAATTCTAGATTAGTGCTGATGAGTGATACCTGAACCTTTGCACAGCGCAGAAACGTGGAAAGCCCAACAGATTGAAATGAACCATCTTTGGAACTAAAATGGACTACATCAACTACTCAAGCCAACATTCTAACTTTGTAAATCATCCTAGAATTTGAAGCCTCCAACTCATTTGATGAAATCCTCAAGGTGTACGCATACACGGTATTCAAATCAGGATTTTTAACATGATTCTTCACAAAGTCATCTTCATATCAATCAAATTCAAGATTGGCCCGTTTGTCTCTCAATTGGGAAACTGAAAAAGTTCGAGGTTTGTCAAAACAGATGGGCTGATATATTGTAGGGTACATAGAATCAAATACTGCAGATTGAAATGAACCCAGACAGAAAAACACAGACAATCACATATATACAAGTGAAGGAAACATCATAGTTGAGTAGAGAGAAGAAGTTATATTTCAAATATGTAGACGAAAATTCCATAGGCAATGCAACCAGTGCGACCTGGGAATCAAGAGTAAATGGAAAGTATCGAAGCAATGAGCTACATTAACATTAAACTGGCGAAACTTTTAAAGGAATTTGACTCACCATTAGGCTTGAAAAAGATTGGTATCTCGAACCGCTTCATCGTCGTGAGGACCTCAAGCCTGCTTGTCATCCTAAATACGCATAAAAATTTAAATGTCAGTCCAAATATATCCATCATCTCATGGAGCAGAAGAGCCAAATTCACACACGTACATCTTTCTGGTTTACTTGCGACTTCAATTCTGCTTGCCTCAAGTAATATAAGCGCTGGAAGGAGGTGTTCAACCCATTCAACGCTGAGTAATACCCGCCTGCATAACCGCAGCCTGTTGCGAAGCAGCTGGGCCGATAGTTGGCTGGAGTGCAGCCGCAACCCCACGCGGTGCCACATCCAGTACCCCAGTTCGTGTAACCATTGTTGTATGCGTACTGGCTGACCACTGAAGGAGGAAACCCGTAGCCCCAGATCTTCGCCTCTACTACTTTCATATCATTTGTGACTGCAACAGTTTGCTCGCTCCGAACCGAAAGAGCAGCAGGGGCTGCGAAGAGAGATTGAACAAGAACAATGACAGTGAACATAACAATAGAAAAGGAACGCATGTTGATTACGAAAATAATTTTATTGGTGATGTTCCGAGGAATCAATACGGTTAAACTGATTGTAGGTTTATGGTTATCTGATTGATGACAAGAGTCTGTTGGGAAAGGTTTAACAAGAAGGCAAGTATGAATTGTAGGATATGGGATGATAGAAATGAGAGTGGATGAGCCTCCCTTTTATACCTTCCTACTCACTTCCTCCCCCCATCAGGAAAACATCCTATCCACCTAAGTTTCCTCTTGCCGCACGTACTGAGGCGATGTTCGCAGGATGCACCGGAAAAAGATCGGTAGTGTCATCTGGCCGGATGCCTGATCACATCTAGAGTGATCAACTCGGATCAACTAGGTTCGTTTTACTTGATACTGAATGTAGGTGAGCATGAATCTGATCAACAGCTCTTATGGGAGGAATACCAAGACACTCTCCTCGATCTAGGATGCGTTTATCGTGTTGTGGTACATTTTTTCGATAGGATCTTCACTTTCAAAATTTGCTGGGGAGCAGTCTAAGCTTCACTTATGAAACCATCATCATCCATCATCGTGGTGGATGATAAGTTCATTTCATATACACGTGACCAGTCTATGGTGGGTTTACATGCATACCTGGGCCGTTGCAACCTGCCATCAATGATCAGTTTGATATCACATCCAGGTGTGACACAAAAGTTCTTTGGATGCATTTGACCGGGTGGGCTGGGTTAGGCTACATAGTACACCCGGGTGGATTTGAACTCACATGTCCGTTCACGTAATCTACACCCCATATCGACAGTACATGCAAGGTGGTGACGCCGCGGATGCGTACGATGGACGAGAGAGGAGGGTGGAGGACAAACCTCAAACCTCGAAACACAAACCTGTATTGCCCTGTACAGATACTCGATTTTCGAGTAACTCTGATCGGACCTCACCAGAACGTCATAGAAACAATCCAGAAGACGATTCCAGACGGCTCCCGATGGATCAAAACAAGAAGTAGGTCTCCAGATAATCAAGAACAAAAAATTGAGGTGATAACTAATAACTATGGATCCTTTTGACTTTTTATTGAACAGAAAGATTAGCTTTGAAAAATTATTATCTTTCACTTTTCATCACAGACAAATATCGATCAACATTTGTCTCACCTTCTCAACATCAATCAGTATAATCAAAATGGGATAAAGCTACATTCAGTGGAATACATCATTTTTGTATGAGATCTGTAGATGGGAGTAGGCATGCAACATTCAAAATCTGTTTTTTTGCTTCACATTATTCCCCACAAGAAGATGATTAAGAAATTCAATTTTCCACTTTCCAAAGACTGCTTAGATTGGATCACATGATTGTTACAGTTTTTCATAATCCAAAAGATCAGCCTTAGTAAGAGATGGTAGAGAAGGCAATCAGATCCACCTTGAGAATAGTGAAAATCTCAAAGTTTCAATCCAATGTGAGAATTTTCAATGCAAAATTGATGTCTAAACATGATCAGGAAAAGACCTAAGAGTAGAAATCGAATCCAAAAGACTATTTGGATTTGAAGCAGTGAATTTAATTTCAAAAGCTTGTGGAACAATGCATATAAAAAGGGTCCGCATATTCAAATGTGCTAATTTCATGTCTTGCATTCCTGATCTGCTCATAAAACACAACTTTGAATGTCTTGTATGGTGTTTGGTTCCGAATCCCAATGTATTTATTCCTTCATTGTTGGAGTTGAAATCAGCATGTTTGGTTTGTGTTTGAGACAGCCAATTGATAAATAATCATTTTGATCCTTTCTGGATGAATTCAGTAATATTTTACCCATGGATGTGTTGATTTTGATCTTGATCTTGATTTCAATGAGTTCTAGCATCAGATCTTAGATCAAAATGCTGTTTGTTTGATAAACAGTCAAAAGAATCCATAGTTATCACTTATCACCTCAATTTTTTGTTCTTGATTATCTGGAGACCTACTTCTTGTTTTGATCCATCGGGAGCCGTCTGGAATCGTCTTCTGGATTGTTTCTATGACGTTCTGGTGAGGTCCGATCAGAGTTACTCAAAAATCGAGTATCTGTACAGGGCAATACAGGTTTGTGTTTCGGGGTTCGAGGTTTGTCCTCCACCCTCCTCTCTCGTCCATTGTAGATGCGGGGTCGCGCTGACCCCGGATCGACCCCCTGCTTTTGCAAGACCCCCCCCTTGGGTTTTGTGCGGCGCAGGTGCAGTTAAGTTACTTCTAGAGAAAACTGGCAAAACCAGTGACAGTTGTTTTATCTGCTGTGCTGATGAACTTTTTACAAATTTCTGATCAATCATTCTTGGAATGGCTGTACAACCATCACATTATATGTACTTGGACATTGAGAAAAAATTAAAAGTTCAAATTTCAGTTTCTAACTGGATTTAAACACAGTAAAGACTTTTTTGGTTTTCAGTGGTAAACTTTGAACTTTAATCTTCCTTTAAGGTAGGAAAACACTTTGTTATCTTTTCCCAACATCCAACATACAATGGAACAGCGGTGTTAAGTTTTGCTGTCCACACTCAATGTCAGCAGTACACTACCAGTGGTGGCATATGTACTTTACTACTCACGGTGAAGTATTGGTATTGTATCTCTTTCACAGTATTGTACCTTTGGGAACAGTGAAGGATCCAACCACCAGTGAGTGAGACACACAATGAGACAGAATCCAAAAGTCTAGTACAGTACTGTATTTCTATTCAAAACACAGTATTATGCAGAACATCACATTCTTTGCTGAGTGCCACCCTAATCAACTACATCTAAAACTTTTTTAGGATCCCAGTATAGACACCCCCCTGTTTATGTGGAGATTTTGATAGGGTGGATCAAGAGTGAAGATATGCTCAGCTCTAGGCATAAAGCTGTATCATAACCTGTAAGGAGGCGTAGGGATCAGAACAGGGGGATGTCTATACCAGGATCCTTTTTTCATCATCTTTTTTTGTGACTACATAGACCACAGGCAGGCATACATTTACAAACAATTGGTTAACTACTCCTGCTTGTTTTTAGAAATCTACTAATTAGTCTATAGTGGCTGCTATCAAGCCTCTTGTAATTTTTGATGGGGACCAAACTCAAAGATGACACTCTTGACCCCACCGGCCAAATTCCATATCAGTCATATTTTCAATGATTTACTGTTGCCACTCCTTTGACTTGATCAGCTCTTACTCAGGCCTTGTTTAAATCCTTTTTGGGTGGCTTGTGGTGCAGTGGTCTGTTGGTGATGCCTATATCTAAATCCCAGAGGGCTCAATGCTACCTTTACCATATTACTCCATCTCAAAAAGCATGCATTTGAGCTTCCAACAACATCTAGTCTAAATCAATGAAACATCATCTTTGGTTGAACTTGTATCCAAAGATCATGTTAATCCAAAATTGGATCCAATGATAATGACCCATTTGACCTCCACATCAGCTGATAAAAAAATAAGAAAGAAAGAAAGATTTTTTTCTGTCTGATAGTTCTAGAAAGGATTATCTAGAAACCTGTTGATGTGAGGGTCCCACAAATAGCCTTGGCTCCTCAAAAACTTGATATCTGAGGGTGTGTGTAGATTTTGGGCCTCAATCAACACCCATTAAAAATTACAAAGGTCTTGGTGGCAGAAACTATATTCTAATTAATGGAACATATAAAGTATAAGAATGTGATGTGGCTACTAAATGGAATACTTTCATCAATGTTTGGTGCAACCATTCTAGATTCAAGAATGTAAATTCCATCAGATTCAAACAGACCAAATCTGTTTGCATGTGTGGACAGTTTGACTTGGGATCTGTACGAATTGCTCCCATTAGGAAGCTGTTGAATTGGTCCCTCACTGAGAACCATAGTAGGTGTTAACAAAAAGAAGGACGCAGAAGAAGATCAATGAAATCATTGGAAGAAAGATTAATGGAGGGAAATGCAAAAGAGAAGTCAAAATGGTAGTTTGGGAACGTATCAATGGGGAAAGGAAAGGGGAGGTCTTGAATGGAGAGGTTCAATAGAAATGCAGGGACAGACAGTCTTTTATACATGTTGTTAGGTGTAAAACAAAGAGGGGAGTAAAGATGTAAATGAGGTGAAAGGTAAAAGTAACCCAAACTGTGTGCAACAAGACAATCAGTATGCAGGCACGTTTGCTTCGTCTGAGGCAACACAGGTGCTCTCCTTTAACAATAGGGCAAAGCACAAACTAACTTCAAAATGCTTACTGAGAGGAAACAAAGGGAGAATCATGGCGAGAGGCACACATTCATTGCCAGGAGAATGTGCTAATGTTGTCGGCAACAACCATTCATGGAAATTGTTAACTCTTTCACTTGGCTTTGCTTGTATCGAGTGAGGACAGGCGAGATCGACTCAGCTATTGCCTATTTCAAATTTTTGACCTATTGTACACTGCCATCATCTTTCTCTGGGACATCTTCAAGACCAATGGTAAAGATATGAAAACAATGTGCAGAATGTATGGAAAAGCACAGGTGGATGAAAGCACCCGGCTTGTAGCATATGCTGACTTCTTGTGCAGGAGTTCCTCTGCATTGTCACTTCTCTAAACTCTGCTATCTTACTGATGCGGTGTAATGTTCATGTCTTCTGAGTTGATATTTCACCACAATGTGAACTGCCACCAGATTTTTCATATACGCAACTTTTTACCAATTATTTAAGCAATAGTCAATTCTTGACTGGAGGTCATCCATTTGGACCCTCATTATCGACAATTTTGAGTACGTACTCCAATGGGATCGGAGCCGAGGGACCAGATAACTGATATACTGGGTGTGCGCATGCCTGCCTCAGCTGTGATTTTCAAGATATCATCAAGCAATTCAGAAAAAACTGTTCAACTTTGGCTATAGAAGCTACGTGTTACAATCATGAGCTTGATTCAACAGTCTTTGTATAAACGAACAACATATTCTTTTCAACGATACCTCTTTTGGGAACACAGTTCTAACAAAGGAAAAAAACTAAAAGTATCAATAAAAATGTAAACTAAACAAATACCTAAGAATTGGAATGATTGATATTCTCAAAAACAATCAACCTTTTAAGAAACCGATCACAAAGTCATCATTTCCCCCACGTATCCAATTGATCTACAAAAGAAAAGCATGAACATTTTTTAAAAAATAGACATTCAAACTAATGACTCACCTTCATCATCACTTAATCCATCATCAGCTAAACTTTTTTTAGCAATCTCACAAGCTTTCCCTTTCGCAACCCCAGCATGAATCAATTCAACAGTCATCTTAGATCTAGCACTTCGAATCTTATTCCGGAACTTATCATTAACTTTTTTAAAGTATTCTTTTTTAATTTCAACTTGGTTTTGAGTAATTTGATTAACAACCAATGCCATACTATCTAAAAGTTTAGATTTATCTTCTATAGCTTGGGTTTCAACTTCGTCTCGCTCTAATTTGGTTGCCAAATATTCTCGAATGAGTTGCTTCCAATTCAAAATTTCTTCGGTGTCTGATTGAATGGAAGTGGTTTCTGTTCGTCGTCTCTTTTTCGGTGATTTTGAATTTGAAGGAGATGGTGAACATTCAGAACAATCACAACTTGATTCAGAACATTCTTCTTGTTCTTCTTTATCTGAACTCCAAGTAGCTGATTTTGCAAGACCATCATCCGGAATGATCAGTAAGCCCGAGTTCTCACCACGCTTATTTTGTTGCGAGGTTTGCGCGATCGGCGCGGGTTTTGATCTTGATCCTTGTTGCGCATCTGAATCTTCATTCCTGACATTGACTCTAGGCTCATTCTCACGTTCTAAACGCAGAAGCCAACCTAAACAATGATCTTGAATACTACGAATATCATGAGGATCTGAAGGTTGAAAAATCGGTCGATCGCTCATCACGGGTTCTAATACTTTATACCATGGAAAAGTCCTCGCAATATTCGCTAAAATAGTAATTTTACGGTTTCCAAAATTGATTAGATTTTACAAATGTCTCAAGAAATAAAGTTCTTTCTAGCTTACTTTGCATTATCTCGCTTTCTTTTGGATTTATCGGTGCTCTTCCTGTATGATTTATAGCTCTATAAGCAGAGTCAAAGAAAAATTCAAGGTGTCGAATCTTTTTTAAAAAAAACAAAATTTCATCTCAAGTCAGTAAAGTAAGTTAAAAACCTTCTCAAAAAATGTTATCACTTACAGCTCCTTCACAGTCTTTGGGTGTTTTAACTGGATGACCGGATTTGATCAGTTCTTTCGCAACCAATTCCCCAGTTTCATTTTTATTAACATCTCTACTTCTCCAGGCCTTATAATTTTCTTTATTACAACACCATCGAGCTACAACATCTATATCACAACATCCGTCATCTCTACGTTCAAACCAAGATTTAGTTTGACCTTCTCCAATATCTTTTATTGGATCGTCTTGTTGATTTTCTTTTTCGGTTTTAGGGATTACTTTCTTTCGTTTTGAAGATTGCGCAGTTCGAGTTGTGATAGGTTTGGTTGTAGTGGTCTTGATTGGATTAGATGATGAATTCCACGTTTTTCGTCGTGTTGAACGTCTCAACTTGATAGACGAGGGACTTGACATTGTAAAGTTTGATCGAAGTTCAGATCGAAGTGAGACGTTTTCGTGTATATCGGTTTGAAAGGTTTTTGAACTGTGAGGTTGCTGAGGGAATCCTCAGCCCTCAGCCCTCAGCCGTAGCGATCAAGAGGAAGGCTAGTTACATGAGTTGAGGACCGTTTTGGGACAAGTTGGAAGTCAGTTGGTAATGACTACTGGTGGAACTGTTGGGCGGAATGCATACTCTGATCTGCCCCAGCGCGCCCGAGGTTACAGAACTGGTGAGGCACGCCCTGACTTGTCAAGCATGATGATTTTTTTGATCTTTCAGAGCAAGGAGTTTCGTTGTCTTTGTAGCTGTTGTAGGATTTCCTTTTGTCTTCTTTTTTTTTGACAATTTGTCACGTCGATGTACGGAAAAACTCGTTTGATATGTCTTGTGACATGGTGCACATCCTTCCTTTTGGAATTTGGATGAAATCGTGTATTGGATAAAGGAATATATCAATATTCAACAGTTATGGAAATCACCTTGAAGCATTTAGCCCACCCGGAGGAAGCGGTGACCAGCTTTTGCTCCGTCACACCTATACATAGCACGCCGACATAAGGCATTCAGTGGAGGAGGTACGAGTCATGTAGACTCGAAACTTCTTGTGGTATCTACAGCGCTGAGCAGGGATTTTCTAATCCCCTCCTGACAGATTAGGTGGTGTCAAACTAGGAAAAGTTGAAGTTTTCAAAATAAAAATTTTGAACCGTGTAATTAAATACATGTGATACAGTTTCAACTGTGTATTTACAGTTTCAACTTTGTATGTATTTGGAGGGTGGCCTCCCTTGGGCTTCACCATTTGTGAAGAAACAAAAAAGGGCTGATGCCCCCATCCTTAATAAATCAACACCTACACCGGGAAACGCGCCAGCAACCACCTCTCCTCGATGTGATATGCCTCGAATCACTCGTCGCCAAACCGTTGTATCAGAAATTCGCACCGCCCTGGATGCTCTTGACGATAATGATCCAACGATTACATTCCCCCTCCGGTCCAGCCTATCAACATTTTCTCATGCGATGGCGGGGTCTTCGATTGCACAACTGGCTGTCTGCTTACATATCAAATCATCTCGTGTTCTCACAGTCTCCTGCATCATAATGACTGTTTTCAGCTTAGCAATGCAATGGCTAGAAAACACATTTAATGATTCAGACAACCAGCTCGTATTTCTTTTTCAACTCTGGCATCAAGAAGAAGTTGAAGACTTACTCGGTCAGCTACACGCGGCTCAAACCCAACGCTATCTAGTACCACGAGGGCCACCTGCACGAGGACCACCCGATGGACACTTTGCCCTCCTCTTCAATGAGCGAAGCTCCGTGTTTAGGCACCTGGTTAGTATTTCTTCGGTATCTCAAACTCGGGTCTTGATGATTGATGTGATCAAAGTCATATGTTGATTTCTTAGGCAAGGATGCAAAAGGAAACTTTTGTGAAGTTACTTCACATGATTGGCGGGCATCACATCTTTCAGAACAGATCTCCCAGCTCGCCACAGGCCCCACCTGAGTGGCAACTCTTGGTCGCTCTGGCGTATCTCGGGTTGACTGGAAATGGTGCTAGTCCTAGGATGCTTGCCCTGGGTTTTGGTATATCAGGTAAGTAAATTTTACTTTCCATTCCCTTTGTCCAACGGCAATTGCTAACCTCACTTCTCAATTCTCGTAGAAGGTAGTATTTATAATTATACAACTCGATGTGTTATAGCAATCCTTTTGTTGAAGGATCGCTTTTATCGATGGCCCGACCAGACAGAACGCAGCAAAATCAAAAAGGCGCTTGGGCGGCATAGTTTTTTTAAGATGTGTTGTGTCCGTGCAGCTAGTATCGCCCCTTCCAGAAGATTTATTTTTTTTTTTTTTTTTTTTTTTTTTTTTTTCTTTT